ACATCAAAAGTCCAAAAATCAAAGATAAACTAAAACATATCAAGATGATTGGTTCAATTGATTTCAGATATTGGTAAAAATCATCAAACATTTAAAAGAATAAATAGTAATAGCACAATATGACATCTAGAATTCCAAATATACTAATATGGCAATTGAATTTCATATTTCACAAAAAATAACACAATTATGCTTACGTATTCTAAAATACCCTAATTCACAAGTATTTCACATTTACAATGACTCTTCCAGAAAAAATACTTTCAATCACTTCACAACCCTTTCTCCCCACGCCACACATGCCCTCCAACCCCTATAATCTGCATTAGCTGTATAGCTAACACCAATAATACCAATTCTTTGAATAAAAAATAAAGAAGACATGGCACCGCAATAATTTTTCCAACTATAGAAACGAAGAAAATTAGAGTAATGAAATGTTGGTATCAAACCACAAATACGTACAGTATGAAATACAAACTACTTTAGGAAAATATCAACAAAATAATCCAATTATTTCACAATCAACATTGTATCTAACACTTAAAAATCAAGTACTGACAACTGAGAATTGGTTTACAAAAATCAAGATTCAACATTACAAAAAGATTTAATATCAATAGAATAGACCAATTATTTCACAGTCAATATAGTAACTAACACTTAAAAATAAAGTACTGACAATTGAGAATTGGTTCACAAAAATCAATTCAACATTTCAAAAGGATTAATGAAATCATAAGTTTATCATCAAAATTAAAAAACCCAAAATAAAGTGGTTAACATTCTGGGAAAATCTCCATTGGATTGCCTTAAGTACCTAAGAAATACGTGTTAAAGAAGTTAGCACAACTTGTTTGTTTACTTCAGTATTTTAAGCATATTTTTCATCGCAACTTGCACCACCTTCACTAATCAATTTTCTCTTTCTATGATGCCAAATAAATTGAAAAAAACACCGTGAAGCTATAATTTTCAAGTTCAAGAAGACACATAAAGGTATCAAATGGAAGCTCCAATGAAATGTTACCACAACTGAGAACACAAAATGGCATAATGAAGGTCATTAATCACCAAATCACACAAACTCAACCCCGCAACACACTGTCATCTAGATGGGAGGAGAAAGAGAAACCAAACCCCACACGACAGTAAAAACCATTGGACCCTAATCACCACCCAATTCAAGATGACAAAAAATCAAACATGATATACAATTTTGATACTAAATTGGTCATACCCATTGCAAACTGATCACCAAACTTGATTATTATGCTAGCAATATCCAATAATAAACACACACACGCAAAAGGGTAAGTTGTGACGACCCATATAAAAATAATAATTACTAACATGCTAATTTAGGTCGTCAATTATGATTCTATATAACTAAGGGTTATTTTTAAAAGTTTTAAATAAATAAATGGACTTCAATTATGAATTCTTTATGTAAAAATGAGTCAAATGATAAATTAGGTTAAATTTCGAAATAGTATGACGAGTGAATATACCTATAAATATATAAATGTGTAGAGGACAAGTGTTCTTTAACATGGGCTGCACAAATTTAAAACATGCAAGAGAAAGGGAAAAAAAAACAGACAAGTGTCAATGATGACTTCAAACAACGCACGAAGGAGAAGAAAGAAAGGGGAGAGAGAGATAGAGAGGAAGAAAGGAAAGGGAAGAGAGAGAGAGGGAGAGAGAGAATAGAATAGGATAGAAGAAAAAAATTCATGAGATCTTATGGTCAAAAATTGAGCAGTGATTCGGGGTGCTTCAAATTTCGCATCTATTAAGGTCATTGATAGGTTTGAGGTACGAGATAATATACAATAAGTTCCCGTTTTTTAAATTCTTTGCCAAGAATGTCATTTCATTATTTGAAATTTGTATTCCTATTGATTATTTTGACTGATATGAAATTCTGTCAATGTTATCTGTTGATCTGTACGTGTACGTTGGGCTAAATATTTTGGGGTTGATTGATACATGTACGAAGTGTACTTGGGGGCATAATTGGTGAAATGTGATTGTAACCCTGCGGGGTGTGATTGTGATTACAGTCCTGAGAGGTGTAATAGTTCGATATGAGTATGAATTTTAAATGCTCAAGTGTCACTTGACATATTACCAAGAGAACCCGAGTCTTAGGCTATGTTTGATAGATATTCAGCTATGTGATTTATCGAATTGGATTCTTGATTCTTTTATCTATGATTGTCTATCGATTGAATGATTTGGTATTTGATCATTCATATTCTTTTATCGTTGAGTATATTGTATACTTCCCCGCCTTTAATATTTTTCAAAATTATCTCGGAGGGAAGGGCAGAGTTGATATTTGAAGAATCGAAGACAGACAAATCTTGATATGATTTTTAACTTTGTGGGTTTATCGGGGTGATGTATAATTTGAATAGATTTGTTTTTATATTGAGGAGATTATTTTTATTGGTATTTAGAGATCAAAATTGTGATTATAAATTTATTGAGAAAATTAGAGTTATGACCCTATATTTGGAGATTTATTTTGATTTATCGATCGATCGATTGATTAAATTAAGTAACGGGTCCGAAAAATCGGGGCGTTACATAATTTTTTACCTAGAAAGGGAGACATGGGTCAGCCCCGATGAATATTATCCATTGTTTGTTACAAATCCCAAAAAACCACTTAGTGGTACCACCACTTTTCCTTTGAGCAAAAAAAAGTTTTAGAATAAATTTTAACATAAAGCAAAAAAATATTCCCCACGGAAAAAAATAATAATTCACAAAAATAATTAATCACAAGTATGTAACAAAAATATTAATTCATTACCCTTTAGAAGAAAGCAAAACCCCTTGAAGCACCTTATAAGAACATTAAAAATATTTAGAGCAAATCAACAAAATCTAAATCAACAAAGCCGGGTTTTGATATGAAACTCAAATGAGAGTATGAAAGAAACAATAAATAATGACACATTCAAAAATTTTGTGATTTTGAATATGTGAAGTGTGAGTGTGTGTTGCCTCAATATCCAACTATGTGTGATGCATGTGTGTGAGTTCTTTCATGTGTGTTCGCGTGTGTGAGTTGCTGGTGTAGGCGCGTGTGTGTGAGTGTTTGCAAGTGTGTTAGTTACTAGTATAGTGTGTGTATGCCATGCGAGAGACTTGTAGAGAAAATCAAAGACATGGAGAGAACAAAGAGAAATGAGAGACTTTGGCTATGAGGGTGTGTATGCTATGAGAGAGTTTGAGTGTGAGAGAGGTTGGAGAAAAGAAATAAGGAGAGGGAAAAAGGGAGATCAACTTGACTCATCGTGTTGGAGTCGCCAAAATACAACAGAGTTGAAGTCGTCTACCAGAGAAAAGACGAAGGGGAGAAATGAGAGAGGGTGATAACAGAAGTGCGATATGACATAAATGGATGGTATAAGAAAATTTAGGGAGTAATCTTTTACCATCAAATCAATTTAGATTAATCACAACTATTGTCATGGTCCTATACAAAATGCAGTTCAACAAATAATCCACCAAAATTACATCAAATAATCAACAAAAATAATTTTAATAATTATTTTTTAACAACAATTTCAACAAATCTATATCAAATAATTAACCAAATTCAACAATCAATCATACCTATCTCAATTGTAAGAAATAAAAAGGAAAGCAGTCACTTTTAGTGTGGTGGGGAAGGGCCTAGGAAAAAGTTGTGCTTTCAAAGAAATTTTTGGCAATTTGTTTTTAAAAATAATAGTTAGTTCATACCAAATATTGAAATTTGTTTGTTATAATAATTATTTTACTCTGAGTATATTATAGGTGGTCAATATGTGGTATATAATTGTAGTATAGACCAATTTGAATTAGACTTCTGTTATTACTTTTTTTTTGGGTTGAATAGTACCTTCAAGTACGGACAATGACTTATATATAATAAAATTTATATATATAATAAAGTAGTTTATAATTCAAATTTTAAAAGATAAATAAAATTATTTTTATTTTTCGTGGTTCAGATCGCTTTAAATTTTACTTTAAAGTTAATATAACGGCTAATATTAACACTCTAAATTTAATAGGAAAAATAGGACCCTAAAGGTGTGTTTGAAGTGATTTTTAAAAGTATTACTAGAAATTATTTATCATAAATACTTTTAAAAAAAATAGTGTTTGAAACCGTCCCACCACCACTGCCACCGCCGCCACTACGGTCATTGCCACCTACCTCAATCATTATTGTCTCCTACCACCACCACTACCGCCCACCACCTCTCATCCCCCACTAGAACTGATATTTAAATTCATTTATTTCTCCTCTATATTTGTGAATTAATTTTGGATATAAATACAAATATATTTATTATTTATTATTTTTTTATTATTTTGTGTTTTTAAGCACAAACAATAACTAGTATATATATATATATATATATAAGAGATGAAGGCGCATGAAAGACAAAAACATCGAGTAATATAGAGGTAATTAAAATTGGGATTAGTTTCTAAAATCGTTTTTAAGATATTCATTTACAATAAAAGGGTATTTAAATTTTTCTATATGTTAAGTTGATTTTTATGTATCTTTTAACAATTAAGTTTAATTTTAGGTGCCAACTTTTAAAAGACTCTTTAATCAATCAGTGTCATTCATTTAAATGTAAATTTTAATATTTATTACGATTCATTATCTTTTTAATAATTATAATTAATCAAATCAATAGATTATGTCAAATACCAAGCGGTGGTCAACGGTCATAAATCAATAAATTCAAATAAGATTTCTCTATCAGAAACATAGGAAAATACCAAGTAGCAGCCACGCCGTACTTTACTCTGACCAAAAAAAAAAAAAAATACTTTACGTCATTTTCATCTTCTCATCAGCGTGCGTCTTCGATCGCCCTCAACTATTATATATGAGCAAGCCATCCTTCCTTCTCGTTATAACTCGCTAACCCACCCACCCATTCCCCCAACTCGTCAAGAGAGAGAGAGAGAAGAAAATGGAGTCCGTTTGGGGTATTGTCTCAGTATGCACCCCATACCTTGTCTCTCTCTTAGCTTTGCTTGTATGCCTGGAACAGATTTCTTACTTGAAGAAAAAAAGGAACATCCCAGGCCCAAATCTAGTCCTCCCATTCATCGGCAACGCAATTTCCTTTGTCCTCAACCCCAAAAAATTCTGGGAGCTCCAATCCGCCAATTCCAAGTCCTCTGACGCTGGCTTCTCCGCCAACTACATATTCGGCCGCTTCATCCTTTTCATCACCTCCAGTGACCTCTCCCACAAGGTCTTTGCCAACGTCCGGCCTGACGCCTTCCAATTCGTCGGCCACCCATTCGGCAAAATAATCTTTGGCGATCACAACCTTGGGTACTTGTTCGGTCAACAGCACAAAGACCTCCGTCGCCTAATAGCACCAAACTTCACCCCGAGAGCTCTGTCCAATTACATATCAATCCAACAAATCATCATTCTCAAGCACTTGAAATCATGTATACAATCAACTTCTTCAACCACCAGTACCACAAAATTACCAATAACTCTAAGAACCCTCATTCGAGATATGAATCTCGAAACCTCCCAGGCAGTGTTCGTTGGTCCTTATTTAAACCAAGAAGCAGTGCGACAAAGATTCAATAAGGACTTTAATTTCATTAACGTGGGCCTGATGAAGCTTCCAATCAATTTTCCTGGATTCGCTTTTAGGAGTGCCAAGCTCGGGTTCCAAAGGATTCTTCAAACTCTCGTAACATGCGCAAGAGAAAGCAGAACACGAATGAAAACTGCCGGTTCTGAGCCAACCAGTACATTGGACTTTTTGATGGTACAACAAAACGTCAGAGAAGACTCTTCTTGTCCTCACTGTAGCTCTAGCGAGAGTGATGAAGAAATTGGTCACCTTTTGTTTGATTTCCTCCTTGCCGCCCAGGACGCTTCCACTTCGTCACTGCTCTGGGCAGTGACCCTTTTGGATTCACATCCTGAGGTCTTGGCAAGAGTGCGTGAGGAGGTCGCCGGTGTCTGGTCGCCGGAGTCGGACACACCCATCACCCCCGAACAGCTTAGTAAAATGCGGTTCACACAAGCAGTGGCCAAGGAGATAGTCAGGTTCCGACCTCCGGGGATTGTGATGCCACACGTTGTCTTAGAGAACTTTCAGTTAACAGAAAACTACACGATTCCCAAGGGGACTATTGTTTTTCCATCGATTTTTGAGAGTTCGTTTCAGGGGTTTGTTGAACCGCACCGGTTTGACCCGGACCGGTTCATGGAGGAGAGGCAGGAGGACCGGATTTATAAGAAGAACTTTTTGGTGTTCGGAACTGGGGCCCACCAGTGTGTGGGACAGAGGTTTGCCATCAATCACTTGGTGCTCTTCATCGCCATATTTACCTCGTTGATTGATTTTAAGAGGCACCGGACCGATGGTTGTGATGATTTTGTGTATGTCCCCACGATTATTCCGAAAGACGAGTGCAAAGTTTTTCTTTCCAAGAGGTGCAGCCGATGTCCTTGATCCTCATGGAAACTGTGAATGTGATTTGATGCGGGGATAAGATAAACATGCAAGATTTGTAAATTGTTGGATCTCTCTCTCTCTCTCTCTCTCACACACACACACGCACACTCACCTACACGGAATGAATTGATGAACTAGGTAAGAAATAATTATTCCTGTTTGAAATCACAAATTCTAGATGTACTTACAATTTCATTTCTAAACATACTCGTGTTGAAAAATAAACTTGTTTTAGAGTTTTACTATATTATTATTATTGTGTGTTAATTTGGTGTGTGTTAGTAGACAATAAATATGTAAGTAGTGAAAAATAAGAGTATTAGCGGATATTAATTCTCAAGAACAATGCCTTAATATTATAGAAGTTACTAGAGTTAGTTGGTATATTAGTACCTTAATATAATATTATGGATTATATGTATGACCTATATAAATAGGATATATGACCTAGAGTTTTAAGTAAGTAGAGTTGAGTAGAAATTGAAGAGTCCAAGTTGAGTGTGTGATTATGATCAACTTGTATGAAATTTTTTTTTTTTGAGTGTTCATATCCTTCTCTATTTCTTTCCATTTTATTTCTAATTCTCTTGACTTCAACAAAGTAATATTAGAGTGATTTTCTTGTTCTAGTAATATTGGAGTAATTCCAACAACACGGTAGTTGTTCCCAACTAAAATTACAAAATCGTGAGATATAATGATTCATGACAAGAAAGATTGCGAATATTAGAGATCGAGAACGTCATAGAAACAAGAGTTGTCGACACACACCAGGTCGTAGGTTCTAACATAGGAGAAATATATTCAATACAATTGTAATACTATGTCAACATTGTCACATGGTTTCACCAACTAATAATAAAACACAAAATAGGCAAGATGAACCTTGAGTAATTATTTGCTTACATGGAGAAAAATTGTGTAGTTATTAGCTTACATAGCGGGGTAGTTATTAGTTAGTGGGATGTCTATTTTCTTAATTGTTTATATTATTAGAAGACTTTTACCGATTTCATGACTCTAGGAGTTATCTTTATCTTCACAGATTGTTATCTCTTGCTTTAGTTAGTATTCAAATAATGCTAGGAATGTATTTAATAGATTACATTCTGTTTGATATACTTATCTTGTAATCTATTGATCAGTATAAATAAGAACCATATGCATTGGACTATTATCATTCAAGAGAGGTCCATTTGATTTCTTATTCAGTTGGTTTATTCTTCATGGTATCAGAGCCTTGAAAGACTAACGTCTCCTTCGTTTGCCATTACGGCAGTTTGCTTCGTCTACAAATTTCAGATTTTTTTTTTGCAGCAATACTTCCTACCCATGAACATGGCTATCTCATCCACTCTTCAATTTCTCCTCTCCAATATTCATACTCTTGTCACCATCAAACTTGACTCCACCAACTATAGAACTTGGAAAACTTAGTTACATGATGTCCTTCGAGCCCATGTCTTCCTCGGCTATATCAATGGTACTTTTCCTTGTCCAAATGCTACAGTCGTTGACTTGTTCGACAAGGAAATTCCTAACCTAGAAGTCCTTGAATGGTCCCAAGTAGATCAACATCTAGTGAGTGCCATTAATGCCACTCTCAGTCCCTCAATTCTGCCCTATGTTATCAATTGCACATCCTCGTAGGAAATTTTTTCCTTCCTTGAACAACGACTTAATTCCCCATCTTGCTCTCATATCATTCAAATGAAAACTGATTTGCAGAATTTTAAAGAGGGTACCCTATTTATGAAGGATTATCTTGGCAAGATTCAATCTCTTGTTGATAGTCTTGCTGCTGCTTCTGCCCCCGTCAATAACAAAGATATCATTTTGTTCACATTAAATGGCCTTCCGCGTGAGTATTAAAACATCCATTCGAACCCGTCCATCACCTATTTCTATGAGTGATCTTTTTAGTCTGCTTTCCAGCAAGGAAATTAATCTCGCTCTTGACTCTTCTGAACCTACCAGTGAGGTCACTACAACCTTTCAAGCAACTAAGAGTGATCTTACTGCTCGATCGATTGGATTTTCTAATGGTGGCTGTGGTTTCCACAAAGGAGGTCATTTCAATTCCAACTTTTCTCGTGGCTATTCTAGCAGAGGACGAGGTCGCAACCAACATGGTCGTGGTGAATGCCAGCAGCATGGTCCCTCTTATTCTCGCCCAGTTTGTCATACTTGTGGTAGTTTTAACCACACGACTGTCCAATGTTGGTATCGCATGGACCCATCATATCAAGGCCCTTCTCAGTTCCCACTTATAGCCTTTCTTGCCTCTAACCCAAACCCATCTGACTCTCACCGGTATATTGATTCAGAGGCTTCACATCACATTACATCTGATGTGTCAAATCTCTCCCTCCATTCCCCTTATCTCGGCAATGATAAAGTAACAATCCGCAATGGTAATTCCTTACCAATTCAGCATGCTAGCACCAGTTTGATCTCTACACCTACCATTCATTTTCATTTAAACAATGTTGTGCATGCACCTCATATTTCTTCTAATCTTCTCTCTATCCACAAATTTGCATATGATAACAACTGTATTCTTTCTTTTGACTCCTTTGGTTTTGTTGTTCAGGACAAAGTAACCAAGAAGATTTTACTTCAAGGAGCCAATCATAATGGTCTCTTCCCTCTTCGCTCTTCACCTCCTACTTCCTCATTTGCTTTGCACACTTTGAAGACTACACCAACCATTTGCCATAACCGACTTGGCCTTCCTTCAATTTCTACTTTACATTTGTTACTTTCTCATCATAATATTCCAATTTCTGATCGTAGTTCTTTTCATTGTGAACATTGTAATTTAGGAAAAAGTCATAAACTATCGTTTCCTACTTCCTTTTCTTTTGTTCATGCTCCTTTAGATTTAATTCATGCTGATGTTTGGGGACCATCCCCACTGCCATCTATTGGTGGTTTTCGATATTATGTTTTGTTTATTGATCATTTTTCACGATTTTGTTGGTTATATCCCATGAACCGTAAATCCGAAGTTTATAATAAATTTCTTCATTTTAAAAGTATGGTTGAGAACCAACTTTCCACCATACTAAAAATTTTACACAGTGATGGCGGCGGTGAATTTGTTAATCACTCAATGCGTGACTTGTTTACCTCGTCTGGAATAATTCACCAACGCTTTTGCCCACATACACCTGAACAAAATGGCATCGCCGAACGCAAGCATCGACACCTTATTGAAACTGATATAACCATGCTTCGTACAACTTCCATGCCTCCTTTGTATTGGCTTGATGCCTTATGCACTGCAGTATTCTTGATTAATCGCATGCTCAGTCCTGTTACTAATAATATTTCCCCTTATGAGCGGCTTTTTAATGCACTGCCAGATTTGATCATTTTAAAAATATTTGGTTGTTGTTGTTACCCTTGGATTCGACCTATAATCAACATAAACTCCAACCTCACTCCAATCAATGTTGTTTTCTTGGGTATTGCTCTTTTTCTAAAGGGTATCGCTGTCTGGACGTTCACATGGGTTAAGTCTTTATTTCTTGGCATGTTAAATTTGTGGAAAACATTTTTCCTTTTGCAACAGGATCACCAACGGCTGCTGGATCATCACCGACTTCTCCCACGACTCCACCTCAGAGATCTATTCCTCCTCCCTATCGACAGTCACCTCCTATACCCCCTCCATCCCCTCTAACCCAATAGAATCTCTTGCCGCTGCAAGCATACCCACCACCACGAATGCCAGCCCCTTACCTCAATCAGCCAATCAACCAGTGGAGGTTGTCGAGGCTCCTCCCAATTCCTCATCGAATCTAACCTCCACTTCTGTGTCTGCTCCAGATCCTAATTCAGCTCCATCCATGGCTGCTAGTAACCCATCAGCTCCATCCATGACTATTGGTAACCCATCAGTTCCAAATGTCTTTCCAAACAACATCACTATTCTTGTGAATGACATATTCAAATGGAAGACTATTATTTCCCTTACTGCTCAATCTGCCCCAGCTCTAGTTGTTCTTGAACCTACATCGTATGCACAGGCCGTCAAGCAAAAAGAATGGAGGGACGCCATGTCTTCTGAGTTCAATGCTCTTATGACTCAAGGAACCTGGACTCTGGTTCCTCCACTTTTTAATCAAAAAATTATAGGGTGTAAATGGATTTACAAACTCAAAACCAATGCTGATGGGTCTGTGGCTCGTCATAAAGCTCACCCGGTCGCTCAAGGATTTAATCAAGAATATGGTGTTGACCACACCGAAACCTTTAGTCCGGTGGTCAAGCAGTCTACTCTCAGGGTTATTCTCTCTATGGCATTGCATTATAATTGGTCCATTCGCCAGTTGGATGTTTCAAATGCATTTTTACATGGTTTCTTAGATGAAGACGTTTATATGAGCCAGCCTCAAGATTATGTTGATCACAATTTTCCAAATTATTTTTGCAAACTCCGTAAGGGAATTTATGGTCTCAAATAGGCACCATGTGCTTGGTTTGCGATACTTTCCAATTTCTAATCAAACATGGCTTTCATACTAGCACAACTGACACTTTCTCTTTGTTAATGCCACTTCTGGCTGGATCACAACGATTCTAGTATATGTGGATGACATATTAATTACTCGGAACGATCCAAGCTTCATTGATTCATTTGTACATACATTGAGCAAAAATTTCAGCACGAAGGACCTTGGACCACTTACTTATTTTCTTGGCATTGAGGTCAAACGAACCTCTCATGGTCTCACACTATCTCAGTGCAAATATGCCTTGGAGTTGCTTGAGTGAGCTTCCATGACAGACTGTAAACCTTATTCCTCACCAATTTCTACCAAACTTTCTAATGCTTCTACTGATGATAATGTCTATCATTATACATCTTTTTACAGAATTATTGTTGGTGCATTGTAGTACCTTATCATTACTCGTCCTGACTTATCATTTGCTGTTAATTATGTTTGTCAGCATATGCATAATCCACTCA